GATGGCTCTGTAGCTGGAGGCACACAAGCTCGTCCTACCCCATGGTAGGAGTAACAACTAGAGTACCGCCAGCTTCACACGTGCTCGGCAGAGGCTGCAGAGGTGGGATGGGAGGGCTGGGAGAATTGATGGAAGCTCCGTGGCCAGGGCTGAGCATCAGAAGGTCTCTGACAACTCACCAAACCCACGCTGCTACGTCCACAGGGCTTCATTTCTTCCTGTAGAGCAAGGGTGAGACCTTCTCATGAGCCTTGCAGCTCTCACATTTATTAAGTCTACGAAGAGTATTATCCAAGAACATCCCTCAGGTACCACCCTCTGTCACTTCCGTCTGCACCTGCCGCTCTGCTCTCTGCCCTCCAGGCTGACCTGCAGAGATCACAGATCCAAGGGGAGGAAGAAGACCAGAGGGACGGGAGGAAGGAAGTACATGCTGAGGATTTCTGCACAGCCACCTGAGCTACTCTGTCCCTCTGCTGAAGGGCGCTGATCTTCCTTCAAGGTAGCTTTCCTCCTGTGTCAGCTTCTACTTCTCTCTCCCCTAAAGTATGACCGCCTTTTCAGAAGCACATTTACATTCCATTTATGAAGCAAAAAACTCTATGAAAAACTCAAGTTGAATCCTTTCTCTTGCACAGGATTGTCTTCTCCCCCCCCCCCCCCCCCCCCGGGTCAGTCATGGGTCTGAACTCTGGGCCTGCGCACTGTCCCTCAGCAATTCAGCTCAAGGTTAGCGCTCTACCACTTGAGCCACAGCGCCACTTCCAGCTTTTTCTGCTTATGTGGTGCTGAGGAATCGAACCCAGGGCCTCATGCACGCAAGGCAAGCGCTCTACCACTGAGCTACCTTTCCAGCCCAGTCCTGCTAACTCTTAAGAGCTGGATGAAAAGATGGGCAAGGATCCCGCCAGAGAAGGGCCGCTTGTGATGAACTCCCCTGCCATCAATGAGGAGGTGAAGCCTTTGAGGTGATTCAGCTTAGGTAAGGTCATGCAGATGTAGTTCTGCGATGCAACTTAGTGTCCTTACGGGAAGAAAAAGAGACTAGAGGTACAACAGCCAGGAAGAGGGACTTCATCAGACAGTGAATCTGTTGGCACCTTGATCTTGAACTTCCATCCTCCAGACTGCGAAAAATAAATTTCTATTGTTTAAGCCACTCAGCGTATGGTGATCTTGGTATAGCAGGCCAAGCTAACGAATACACTGTTCTTAGGGCTTATGTAAAAGCTTTGTCACTACAAGGATGGGGCTAAATATTCTATAAATTAATGAATAAGTAGAAAGAAGGTTTCCTTCAACAGTGCCCACGCCATGAAATATTACTTTAACTACTTGTATGAATGAAATGTAAATTCATGTGACTTTTCCTATGTGTACTCATCAAATCCAATTAGTTGTTCTTTCCCTTCTTCCTCTTCCCACTGTCATATCAAATTTGCACTCGTATTCTCATTCCTTCTGGACTGTTTTGCTGTGACCTGCTAATTGACATCTCTGCCCTAGTTACTTACTCCTCCCTGCCTCCTGGACAACACTGCCAGACCGAGTTCCTAAAATAGCCTTCCCCATGGTAGTTCCTCCCCAGCCTTCACGTCCCCCAGCCCTGACAGCACCGCTGCCCATCAGCCACACCGGCCACCCAGAGTCACCCACACCCTTCGCCTCCGGACATGCTCTGCCACCCCACACAGGAAGAACTTCTTTCTCGGTGTCAAAATTGTACCTCTTTCTCAAAGTTCAGATTACACTTCCCACCATTGTATCTCCTTCTCAAAGTTCAGATTACACTTCCCACCATCTCTGGAACCACAAGGCCTCAGCTGGAAACCATTTCTCCTCCCTGAACTTGCAGGGCGCTAGTCCCTGGCTTATCATTTAGTGCTCATCATACACTTTCCATTCTAATATATCTCTGAAACGAGTTCTATGCATTCCCCTCTAACGACGCTCACCCACAGCACCGTCAACACCACCTTACGTGGAGGAGCTCCATGTAGGGCTTACACTCAGAATGATGCACGTCAGAGGGTTTTTTTTTTTAACTTTAGTTCAAACCCACCATGTCTCCATCTGGGCACTATTGTTCAAAAAAAATTGAGATTCTACTATTCATAGCCTAACAAAGTATGGAGGCTGAGGCAGGAGGACAGTAGCATTCAGCTTACTATTAAATTTGCAACTGCAGGGTGTCACTGGCTCACACCTGTAATCCTAGCCACTCAGAGGGCTGAGATCTGAAGATCCTGGTTCAAAGTCAGCCCAGCCAGGAAAGTCCTTAAAATTCTTATCTCCAATTAACCACACACACACACACACACACACACACACACACACACACACAGAGAGAGAGAGAGAGAGAGAGAGAGAGCCAGAAGTGGAGTTATGGCTCAATTGGTAGAACACAAGCCTTAAGAAATAAAGGGAATGTGGCTTAGTGGTAAAGTGCTTGCCTAGCATGCATGAGGCCCTATGTTCCATTCCTTGGTACCATATAAGATTAATAAAAGGAAAAATAACCATTAAAATTTTAACAAAAGAAAGAAAAGCTCAGAGTGTGCTCAGGCCCTGAGTTCAAGCCTCAGGACTGGCACCCCCTTTCCCCCCCCAAAAAAAATCACAACTGTTGGTACCAAGCTTGAATGAAAGATGAGAGAGAGAGAGAGATGGCAATGGGCGGGGGGAATGAGTG